GCCGCGCTGGGCCTCCTCCCTCCGCTCCCGGCCGCGATCCGCGCAGCTGCAGACCCACTGCCTGTTTGTCTTCTAAGGAAGGGCGCCGAGGCCCCACCGTATTGCGCATCCCTCAGCCTTTGTTTTAGTCGACTTTGCAGGCCCTTAGCGCGGAGCGCCCGGGAGGGGACTTGCGGCCCAGGGCTGGGGCCCCTGCTTGGGATGGGGGGCGGAGGGAACAGGAAAGCGTGCCCCTTCTTTCCTGTTCCGGCCATCTTGGGGCCGAGATCCAACCTAAAGGGTGAGGGTGGTCCACAGCAGACGTCCCAGGCTGGAGTGGTGGCCGCGAACGGAGACGGGTGCTCGGGCCTGCGCCCTTCCTTGCTCAGGTCGCGGTGGGGACGCGCGGGCTGCACCCACGGTTACCTCTAAGGCCCAGAGCAAGTGTTCTCTGCCAGAGGCGGGGAAAACCGAGGGATACGGGCCCGGGAACCGAGCGGCTGATCCGTTCGACCGTTCTTCATTCCGGCTGGGCACACTCTGAACACCTCCGTTCGGTTTCTGCGCTAGGTGCTGCGGATACGTCGGTGAGCGAGAGAAACCACGGGCCTTCTTCCCGCTGATCCTGCAGCCCCAGTGGATGGAGCCCCGAGCCCACCGACCTGTCAGGTCGGTATCGCGATGCCTTTCAACAGATAGGGAAGTTGAGGCTTAAGGCTGGCAAGCTGGTTCTAGATCAGGCAGCAAGTAAATGGAAAAAATCAAACTTTGAGACTATCTTTGACTGTAGGAATATTATGCCAGGCAGCAAGGAGTCGCTAATAGTTTTTTTTTTCTTATTTATAAAGGCTCATTATATGTGTGGATTTATGGTTTATTTCCTGGATGCTTTTCCTATGCATTTATTTCTGGTTCCCAATATCTGGAAAGTGCTACAAATATTTGATATTATAACTTTGCTTGCAGTTACTTTGAATTGTATTTTCCTCTCTTCTGTTCACGTATCTGGCTGTTAGGAAAGAAAAAAAACGTCCTGATGGTTGGTCCCAGCAGGGACGCCCAGGTGGACTGAGGAATGTGTGGCCCCTCCTCAGCGCATTGATCCCTGTGGCAATCTCGAGTATCCCCCAGAAAACCCCAAAATGAGAGGCCTGCAGTCTGCAAGTCGCTGCTAGAAATACTTTAGTTTCTCCTGAAAACAGAATGCAGCCAACGCGCAAGTTTGCAAGGTAAATACGGTAGCCTTTTAGGTAAAGCATGACGGATGGACGGCTGATGGTTGAAGTTCCTCTGTTTTTACGTAAACTTCAGCATTTTGACAGTATCTTTTGGAGAGACAAGTGAGCTCTTCCATACCTCGGGGAGGTCTCTGGTTTGTATTTTTATCAGAATGTTATAGATTGCCAGTCCACAGAGGAAGAAAAATTCTTTTAGTAAAAGTATCTTGCCTGGGGATGATGGCTCATGCCTGTAATCCCAGCACTTGGGAGGCTGAGGCAGGAGTATGGCTGTGAGTTTGAGGCCAGCCTGGGCCACAAAGTGAGTTGAAGGCCAGGCTGAGCTACATAGCTAGACCTTGCCACCTCCCCTAAAAAAGGAATTTAGAGAGCCTGCCGTTAAATGTGATTAACTACATGTTCAATAAAAAAAAAACTGTTTGGGGTAATATACAAAATACACCCTTAATTTTAAACTTACAATTCCATAAATTTTACATCTACAATCCCCAGCAATCACCACCACGGTGGAAATGTGGAACATTCCTATTACTCCAGATTTTCTTTTGCCCTCATTTAATTTTATATAATTTTTTTGCTACATGTCTAAATTGCGTGTGAAAGGTACGAATAAATAGTTATTTCTAATCTCAAACCTAAGTCGAGCATAGGTGTGGATGGATAACCAAAGGATGGTAGCAGGGACCGAAAGGCCTGGGTATGGGGCCCCCTGCGCCTGTCTAAGAACATGCACCATTCAGCCCCAAAGGCCAAGGAGGTGGTGCCTTCTCCGGATGGTCAGCGGGCGTGTCTCCTTGGGTTGGTCCACGAGGTCTTCTCTGGTCCCACAGGGCCTTGTGTGCCTGCTGAGCGTGCGCAGGCGCGCACGCTCGCGGTTGGCTCCAGCTCCGGACCAGGTGCTACCATAGCAACGTCCTGGACGCCCAGACCTCTGGTTGCCGCCGCCGCCACCGGCGCGGAGGGAGACCCGCCTTCTCCCTCGCGAGGGCGTGGCGGCGGCGGCAGTGTAAGGTTGAGG